TGTTAAACATTGGAACCAAATAGAGTAGATCAAATATAGAAACGCTTCTGATATAATTTGTGTTAGAAAAGTAGTAGTACCATTCAGAATCTTAGAGGAAAATTTTATCGCTTACTTAGAATGTCGAATGAGGTTGAGTACTGGGCGATAAGATTTTATAAGAAAGTAAGGTCGGTATTGTAGAGATGAGAATTCTACACTGGATGGATAGTCACAAAAGACCAGATAGAATCAGGAATGAAGTCATCAGAGAAAAAATTCGGGTGGCTTCCATCGCAGAAATACAGTAGCTTTGTCTTAAATTGTTTTTATGTGTTGAGAAGACTTGTAGAAGCATTAGTGGGGAGGGCAAACAAGGAGTGTGTTTGGTCCATCAATTTTTGGTCTTAGAAATACTTGTAAGTTAATAATTTGTACTGTCCTGAAGTATCACAACTGTGTGTTTTTTGCTCCCCCCGTTTTCAATTGTGTGAATTGGGTTCTTAATGTTTCCCCTCAATTTTAAGCCTATGGTTACTTAATTTGTGCAATTAAAAAGGGACCAAAAACTGCACAATCACAATACTTAAGGGACTAAAAATAGAATTTAAGCCTCAAGTCATTAAAGAGCTTTAATAAAGTCAAAGATGTTTTGTAATTTTCATATTTTTTAGCTTAAAAGTTACTTTTACAGTTAGAGTTGTTTGGTAAAATACTTCTATAAAAGCTCTGATTTTATTTAAATCACCATAAAAAATCCTAATTGTAAACTTCTATATACTACCAATGAATGAACCACTCAAAAAATAATAATGTGTTAGCAAGGTAGTTCCAGGCTAAACAAAGTTATAATCTATAAAAAAGACAAGACAAATACATTTTTTAATATACAAGTTGAAATTAACCAACCATATTAAAGAAAGTGGTAAAATATGTTAGATTAAACATCGGATTTCATTAAAAGGAGGTCTACTCTAGAGGTCGAATGCAGCTACAAGAATGACGGGATTCAAGGATCATCATCATGCTAACAAGGATGGATCAATCCCAGCTATCTTATTAATTTCCCTTTCCTTCGTATTAATAAAGAAGTCTAATTACACTTAGGAACTCCCCCTCACATACACTCTTAGTTGGGAATGGATCCTCTCAAGTGTGATTTACACTTGAGAGAGTAAAGTGTGATCTCTCACCATTTAAAAAGAGAGAGAAAAACTTATAAATTTTAGAGAGAATGATTTTTAACGGTGAGAGATCACACTTTACTCTCTCAAGTGTAAATCACACTTGAGAGAATCCATTCCCCTCTTAGTTATGTGGTGTCTATCAATACCCCCGCTCGCAGCTTTATCCTTGCACTCAAAGAGAAAAAAGGGAAAAACTGTGCAGTGTCTCAACTGTCTCCCTAGAACTGTCACAATTTCGGCAAACTTTCCAACTAACAACTAGCATCTCTGCAGATCCACTTTTGTTGTAATGAAGGTAGATAACATCATGAATCTCGGGTTGCAGTTCCCACTCGTCTATAAGAGCAGCTGCCAATGGTTGAAGCTGATAGAAAGTAGATACTGCTTTTTTGAGCTTGCTAACATGGAAAATAGCTTGAATCTTACTCTCTTTAGGCATCTTAAATCTACAAGCCACTTCTCCCATTCCTTCCATAATAACAAAGGGTCCATATAAAAGAGGGCTTACTTTCTCATATATGATGAGTCCCACTCCTATTTCACATTAATAGCCCAGACTTAATTTTCATGATATGAAAGATCAGTACTATCTTAGAATAAGGCCAGCTTTAATGAATAAGTCACGTTTTACACTAAACTTCCACTGGTGGAGGTTGGACTTTGAAATACACAGATTTTTATTAGAATAAGTAAGGCTAACTTTAGTTTAATAGAATAAGAAATGCCATCCTTAAATGTAGAACTTGAATGTTCAACTTTTCTTTTATAAATAGAGCATCGTGCTCCATTCCAAATCAATCAAAAACAGATTCACATTATATAAATTTCTGAATCTATTACACCTGTAAGGAGTGGCCTTAAGATAAACCCAGTTACCCAACAACGCATCTCTTCTATGTTTGTCTGTTTGATGCTTAATTTTCTTTTGAGCTACACCAGGTTGTGGTGCAATGCAACTGATATAGATCTGCAGCCCTAGTTCAAGAAATCTCATTTACATATTTGAATAACTTTATAAACCTGCATAGTAACTGCTAATCTATATATAATTGATTGTGCCAAGAAATTCCTCAAGTAATTCAGTAAATTATTTGTGTTGTGAATCTTGAATAATAATGGTAATAAATTGTTTTTATTGTTAGATGAACTCCTTGCAGATTTGTTTTCTTGCATACTGATAATGTGATTGTGATGTTTTTGTTCAAGGATGGATCCTTGCTGGACGTGAACAGTCATATTCTTTATTCTCCAATTCCCTGCCGTGTTCCCTTGCCTGGTTTTGAAAGTTTCCGTTTTTGTGTTTCACAATATGAGGAGAAAGACAGAATTCTACTTTGGAACTTGTGTAAAGTTCTAGGAGCTAAGTTTGCAGATAAGTTGACTAAGAAGGTCACCCATTTGTTGTGTAAATTCACCAATGGGCCCAAGTACGAGGCTTCTTGTAAGTGGGGGATCCGATCAGTTACATCTGAATGGATATTTGAATGTGTCAAACAGGTATTATTTCTATAGCGGATATGTCCAGGTCACTGAGAGCTTTGATAACTGCTTGTTCTAAACATCTTGTTATGCGTGCAAGTCTACATGCATTTTCTATGCTTAGGACAAAAAGGGTCTTTATCAATATGCTTTTTTTTCTTCTAGAATGGAGTTATTGCCATTGATCAATTTTTGCCCAAAGAAGTCACTAGTCAAGACCAAGAAGCAGGAGTTTGCACAGTGAGTCAATTTCCTACCCAGGCTGTTCGAATGATAAATGACATACCGTCCCAGTTTCCAAGTCAATCACAAAGTTCGAGAAGCACAGCAAATAAAAATGTAGATAAGGGAGTTGACAATCATCGGACACGTTCTAAAACATCAAGCATTAATAGCAAAAAGGCAAGGCTTGTGGAAGAACCTGACCGGTATAATAGGGTCCCTTCTGCAGTAAGTTCAGGCATTCATGTCTCTGACTTGAATTTTTCTGAAGACAATAAGCTCAAAGATGCTCGGGAGATAACCCATGCTGGTCCTGACGTCGCTACTGCTATAGAGGACTTGTTAGAGCAGACAAGCAAGGTAAAAGTGCTGATTTGCTAATGGTATTGTATGCAGACATATATTTAAAAGAAAATTCTTACTCTACTTTTCCTGAATTGTTCTTGCATTAACCACTCATTTTTCTTCTTATCTCAAAGATGCATGATCAGAGGTCGCCAGGGAATACAGGGTGTGAGAGAAGTGTATCCTTTAAGTGTGATCAATTCAATGGAGGTTGTGTTCTGTTTCATAATTCTATATTTTGTATGTAGTAGTGATCCTTTACAGTACAATAGATCTACTCATCTGATTGTTCAGCCATTGGCCAAGACAATCCAAATCCTCACACCGTCTATGGATTATCAAAGCACTGGTTAAACAGGTAGGTTTGCCATACTTCCCTATTAAAAATGTTTATTGTTGTCATCTCACCATTTAGGCCGTGTCTGGTATTTCTCATAGTAGATTTGACTAGCTTATAAGCTCATCTGAGTCAAGTAGAAATTCGGTAAATATGCTTATCTCAATGGTTTGTAGCATTTTTTTGAGATGCTACTGGTTGTCTGGTTCAAATAAAGTAGATATATTTGTTGTAAGAATTTATCTAATAACACATCTGATTATAATGGAAGCATCTTGCATATCATTTTTCAATTTTGTATAAATCGGTACTGATCTTATACTTTTCAGAAATGGAAGAAACGAAGATAATGGTGAGACTCCTCAAGAGCGAAAAGCTGGAATGTATGATGGTTTTAGTGAAACACAAACAGAATCTCAGGTTTTATCACATGCAGCTCCTTTTACTTTTAAGTTCTGTTTTTCACGGGAAAAAGAATTATTCAGTTTCTGCACAGGCTTTGACTAATGACAATTTACAGTATACTGGCTGAATTCCATTTCACGTCCGACATGACCATATCCAGATTACTTATGGTAATTGACCAGTTCATACTTCTCATGCAGGTCGTTAGTTATGAAGAAGACTTGTCTGGAAGGCAAATGCTTATAGATAGAGTTCTAACTCGAAGTAGCATGCAGTAAAATACAACCCTCCTTAAAGGAAAATTCAGTAGAGCAGCTTCTTTATTTGATGGTCTGATGGTAATATTTGACCATACAAGCCAATGCACAAGAATGTGTTTTGTCTTTCAGGATCAGCATATGTTAAAAATACACTCAACCTTTGTCAGCTAATAGAGGAAACTTAAGTAGCAGGCAGGTTAGTATTTGATGTTAATATCAACATTTGTTGTATACTTGTATGTAGGTTTGAATACATCATCAGCTTAGTTTGAGAAGTAGTACCCCTAATCCCCTAATGTTAGTTGATAAGTGTAAAATAAATGGCAGGGTTTTTGAATTGATTCTCTGTAACTTGCTAATGGAAATAAGACTCAGCCAAGTAAAAAAGAAATGGTCATTTACTCACGACTTCCTTGTTCAGTTTTACCAGACTATCAAGTAGATTGCAGATCTCTTTATTGTTATTTTAGTGGAATGGGTGGAAGAAAGGGGGATTTCCATTTGCTAAAGTTGTTGAGGAGCAAATTCTGTTAGCATGCCTTCTGATTGGATAAGCAGGATGCATTTGGCAAATCTGAAATCACATGACATTTGGGCTTATACATTCAATGGCTTCTCAGCAAGAGTCAGTGTTCTGAACTATCGAATGCTTTGATGTTTATCTAAAACCCGGCAATAATTGTGTTCCACAGAGGATGTTGAGATTGTTATATTATCAATGTAATGTTCTAATTTGTTTAGCTTTGACTTCTAAGTTAAATTAGTATATCCACTCTTATGTCATGCTTAGTGCATGTAATGATTACTTGTAAAGGTTCCTAGCAAATGGAAACAAATAACAAATAACAGAATACACGAGGAAGAGCCTAATATTGCAATAGACATGGTCACGAGTTGCATAGGGTCAGAAACAACACTGATGTTAGTTGTAAGAAATAATTTCACTTCTTTAAACCTTGCACTCTCCAAGGTCGAATCAACTTTGCTTTTGGCGTGCAATAGGGATTTTAATCGATGATTCATAAAGGCAAAAAACAGAAAATAAAAATTTAGTGCTTTGATTTTTGTCATGAAATGGTAACTGTGTTGGATAATTTCTTAAAGGCTATTGCTAGCTAGTGTTCTAAATTCTAAGGACATTGTTTATGATTTCAGAATTTCTTTCTCCACCCTATAGTTTTTTCGCGCATTGTGCGAAATTTCAAAAATACTCCCCAAAATCGGAAATATATTTTTGGGATGCAACAAGTTTTGAAAATATGTAGATTGAAATTGGTAATTAAATTCTGATTTATAACCGGACTTATATTTCCGGTATGCTGATGAACAGAGAGCAGAAAAACAGTCTTGAATAATACTAATTTCACAAATTCAAAATACAATTCATATCATAAAATAGATACATTAAGGATTAAAACATACATCAAACATTACACTTCTACATTTAGGTGGACGTTGCAACATCTTGATAATATCATCTATCGATCTCGAAACAGTTGTATCTAGCTCGATCGGAACTTTCGCTTCAAAATGGATAAAAGTATGTCACATAGCCCGTATATCAACGTCGTTCCTCAACTCACGGTTGATGAATGCAAGCTTCTCATCTTTGTCAACGAATGGCGAGCGGTACTCGATCTTCACAACTTTGCGATTGTCGCCATAAGGTAGCAGGTCCTGTAATATGTCTTATAGATCTTTAAGATGGGTGTACTCGGTGCACTTAAATTCTCGTAATGGTGTATTGTCGGCAAAGTTGGCATTTCCAACATGCCATTTGAAGTTCATTCTGGTTTTTGGTGTTTTGGTATGAAACAACATGCTAAATGAGGTTATTTATAGTAGTTGAAGGCAAACACGGACCTTACAAATCCTATCATGTGACAAAGTGTAAATCGAAAACACATTTCCGGTTCCACCTTAATATAAACCAGAAATATATTTCCGGTATGTCCTCTGGGACTGAAAACCAGAACAGAAACAAAAACAGAACCATAATACATGTATTGAAAGATGATATTTTTGGTCAAACTACAAAATAACTATATTCAAGAGCATAATACATTGACAAAATAACATATACAATAAAATAATACCTAACTACTTAAATGATCTGAAATAAGTGTCGCTGGACAAATCCACAAGTGCTATCCCTTTTGACTTTTCTCTATTTTTTCTATTTCAATTTTGTCCAACTTGTCGTAGTCTTGCTTCCTTTTAATAAATTGGTCCGACCAGGTCTCAGAAGGGATTGTGTAATGATTCGTCCACTCTAGTGATGTAAGTGGTATTGGGCACCCCGATTTCAAATATATTTGAACAAAATGTCACAGATTTGAAACCCACCTAACACAGATGATACGGTCATTGGGATTTGGCGGTGGAGCAGTGCGGAGTGGGAAAAAGTTTTCGAGAAATCGTATCTTGTAAGATTAACACACACCCTCTCATACGCTCTTTCTATGAGATGACCCATTTCAGGGAAGCACATCCATTTATGCTCCGACGCAAGGTACTAACGCATTATAAATCTCTCCAACTTTCTTATTAGTCCCGAACACCCGTGTATAATTCTCTATTGCTCTTCAACTCTCTGATAAGAGTATCATGAACAAGTTGGTGATCGTCTCCCCCTTTACCCAACAAATCAGAAACAATCTGAAAACCACAGTTACCGTCACCACCGACATTGACAATCAGTTCAATGTACTTGTGTATAAAAACCAACATCTCCTCGATGAATGGTATTTTTGATGGAGTCAGTGTAAGAGGTGGTTTGCTAATACAGGCTCATTTGAAAACACTTTTTTGAGATTTCAGAGTAGGTGAATAGGGAAAAACTTTGTCAACGTGTTCAAAATACGAAAGATTCACCTTTGTTGATTTGTTGCCCGGTGTTGGTTTCACCTTCTTAGATGCCCATATAGTTTTTACCGGTTGAGAGAGTGGTTTCAAGTCAGTGGTATCTGAAATGCAATCTTCCTCAGTTGCTTTATGATGTGGAGTTTGGTGGACGCATCAGCTTTCAAAAATCTTTCTTGTATCGCTTCCCATTAAGTCAAGATGGAGATACTAGATTTATCGTCTTTCATTTTACTGTCATCTTCAAAATTGAGTCTCTTCCAATGATTAAAGACCTTGTCCATACGTATCAGGCAATCAACTTTCATCTTCTTAGATATGAAACAAGCACAAGGGAGTCCACATGTTTTCACAATTGTGCAACTATACTTTGAGCTGTTCGAACCTATATTAGAAGCTCATTTGGCTTTGTGAAAAATGTAATTCAGAGCTGACCGAGAGATATTACCGACCAACTGAGAATTTAAGGTGTTGTCTTTGAACCCGTGTTCCAACACTGTGATACTCCGACCAAATATTGTTTGTATCTCATTATATTGTTTAGTATCATATGGTTCACAGAATCCCATTCCTTAATCAAGTCACCCTTTCCAAGCCAATTCTTCAGACATGCATGAGCAGAATCAACTCGGTTTATTGTTGTATTTTTGAGGTACATAACCTGATCGGTCCAGACATAAACAATCTTCTACTTTACCTGATCTAATATTGTGCTTTCAACATATTTCAGTAGATCGGGATAACTCACACAAACCTTCCTGAAATGTAAAGCAACATCAACATATAACTCTTTTGTAGATGTATTAATTATAACATTCCATGCATCCATAATTTTCACCATAATAACGCCCGTCTTAACCAGTTTTCCATTTTCATCTGCAATCTGTTTTGTACCTACAACGAGTTTAACCCGACTTCTCACATTTTTAGTAATGTGGTACCTACAAAGTAGTGCATAAGAAGTGGGAAATACCATTGCAACCGAATTCATTAATGTTGTATCTCGGTCGGTAACAATGACTTTCAGCATATCTTATTGGTTCTTCAACATTGACCAACAAACCTCTAAGACCCATGCAAAATTATCCTCTTTTTCGCACTCCAGAAATACAAAACCAACCAAATACGCCTTCTCAGTCGATGTAACACCAAAAATTTCCAACAACAGAAGCATATACTCGTTGGTCTTATACGTTAAATCAATTATGATCACAGTGGGAAACGTATTAAACAATTTAATGGAATCAAGACGAGTCCAATAAATATCTCTTACTGTTACCCCATCCTCGTATCTTCGGTGCCTACAAACATAATTATTTACATCTAGAAGTTTCAAGAGGTGTTGCATTTCAGTTTGATCCCCTATAAGCGCTAACTTGGATGAATAGTTCCTATTGTACACTTTATTGATATTCGATGTATTCCCGGGTCTCTTGCACTTCAAGGTTGCAAGTATGTTTTTGGACGTACCAAATTCGATGTCATGTCGGAAACACATGCGTTCTCATCCAGAAGGAGCCGACATGTAATTGGATGACCGACTAACCTTAGACTTAAATCATGATTGTGTAAACCACATATCATATTAAATCTCCATTTCTTATTTGCCAACAGATAACCATGCAACTTAAATGTATATTCACATTTTCTTGAATCAGTGTCGTCGCGTTTTAAATTCTGGGTCCGACACTTATATTTCCCACTTCTTTCACATGTCAAAGTCACAAATGCACATCTTCTATCGGTACCATTATCGGACCTTCAAATCACAACACCAAACCCTAGTTTGGGGGCCTCTATACGAATCAACTGTAACATGTCTTCACGTAATTCAAACTCCTCTTCAATTTCAAAATGGTCACGAATATCTATCGCCTTAGTTACGGTAGGAGATACAAAAGGTGAAACAACTCGAGACACATTAGGTTTGGGAATGTTATCTACATGCACCAAACCTAATGTGATAAAAAAATAAACTAACTAACACACAATTGCTAGAAAATTAAGCACATCCAAGAACCAGAAATACATTTCCCGTTTAGTTTAACTACTAACCGAAAATACAATTCTGGTATTAGCGTAACTTTTTCAAGAAAATAACCAGATTAATGTGAAGAATGATGATTGAAATGAATAAAACTTATATGTAATTCCACTTCCTTGAGCTCCTTTTGATATGATGAACCACAATAATGAAGATTTGGAGTGAAAAAATGGATTGAGAATGGAAGAGTTTTTGAGAAGGTTTATGTAAAGAAGAAGAATGAGGATGATCATCCTTCAACATGTTGGTTACTGTTTTAAGAAATTTATATTTTCCATAATATCAGAAGTATATTTTCGGTAGTATATAAAATTGACAAGGTGGCAGAAAATTAAATATTCCCGCTACACAAACCAGAAATAGAATATCGGGTGCAACCGGAAGTATAACTCTGGTTATGTTTTCCTCTTTTAAATAGAATGGAACCATATTTGGTCTGTTTGTGTGTGGTGTATGGTGCACACCGAAAATATATTTCTGTTTTCCAAGGGCATTTTTGGAAATGCTTAGGCTTTTTCTTTTCACTACAGGGTGGAAAGAGAAATTCCCTATGATTTTATAATTTAGGTTAAGTGGAGTGGATTTGAGGTGGATTGAACTTTTGGTTGGCCTAGAATAAATCTCCCAAAGGCTTTTGTGGGCATTGAAGGATCCATAAAAGCCTTAAATAATGTTGGCCGACCTTTGAGACACGTTTCAATGTGAAATGGTAATGAAACATTTGGAATCAGTTGAAAATAGTAGTGGAGAACAGGTGCATTAAATGTAGTCCCATCATTGAAACGCTTCATAACCTTTTTCTAGCACGTGCGATGGCATGGCTAGATAAAGTATGGTGCCGTTTATAGAGTACTTAAGTGCACTCGAGTTGGCATGTATCCATGAGTGGAAATCTAGCCATTGATCATGTAATTTCTTTCTATATATGATTTGATCCTTTTAGCTATCATTATTTATAAATAAGGTGAATTGAGTATTTGAAAATTTTTGCAACCTTAGCATTCAAAATTATATTTACTTTTCGGAAACATCTTCATTTTTTCATCCTTGAAAGTATTTCTAAGAGTGATTTCAGTGCTTTGCTTAAAGATTTTGACTTTTCTTTTTCTTCTCATGCTTCACCGATATTACATACCAACATAGTATCTTAACTCAACCTTTTTATCTTCAACATTTCCTGTTTTTTAGT